TAACCTACAAAGTTTTGCATATTTAAAACATTTAATTTCAATTAATTATGCATTTGATAACATTTCAAACTATGCACTGCAGCTATTGGCTCCACACATCAAAGCTAAGCGAAAGGCACTAAATCAACGATTTAGACTATTATATTCCCTACTGGGATATCACTCAGAACTAGATCTAAGACAAAAACTTAATACTTACACTTACTTACTAAAACCACTTTGGACGTACGCGTCATAAATATATGGAGTTGCTAAAAAAAACTCACATTCAGAAATTACAAATATTTCAGGCCAAAACCTTCAGAACAATTACTCAAGCACCTTGAGTTTAGTAACATAACTCTCCACAAAGACTTACGCATGCAAACCGTCACAGAACACATACAAACTTATTACAAAAGGTTTCACAACAAGCTTTATGGTCACCCCAATAGACTCATCCAAGACATGGCCAATAAAAACATGCCCGATAACATCTGCAGAAGGCTGAAAAGGAGTTGGATGAAAGGTCTCCTTATTTAACCACTAACATGACCGAAGATAAACCACTGGGTTTTTCTCTTCCTCATGCCTATGATGCCCTTTCTTCTAGTCTATTTGTATACAGTTATCTCATTCACTGATTGTCAGTGTACATTGACAGTTGTGAATTAAAAAATAAAGAGAAAAAAAAAACTATTTGCCAATTTCTAAACTAAAATATTGTCTGTCATATTATTTTTGTCTAATTTCTATAGTTTTAAAATACAAATATCATATGAGAATAGCAGGATAAGTGTATGCATAAATATTTTATTTAAAGATGACAACTGAAGATAAAAGGACAATTAATTGTTCTGTAGGCCAAAAGACAATTTTTAACATCAGGCAAATTATTAGCATTTTTTTAAAATAACTAATATTCCCAAAATAATCTTTTTCATATTTGAAACAATTAATTTAAATTAATAAGACATTTAACGAGCTTTAAGGCAATGCACACCATCTATTAACTAATTTCTGATTATTAACATTTTTTTTTAATAACTATTAATCTCTAAAATATTTTTTTAAATATTTAAAAGAATTAATTTAACTGAATACTACATATAACAAACATTTAAAACAATGCACTCCAACTGTTTGCTAATTTCTGATTATTAATATTTTGTTTTTAATAAATAGTAACTCTAAAATAATTTTTTTTTCATATTAAAACAATTAATTTAAATAAATGAGACATTTAAAGCAATGCACACCATCTATTAGCTAATTTCTGATTATGAAATATGTTTTTTGATAACAAATAATCTCTAAAATAATTTTTTTAATATTTAAAAAAATTAATTTAAATTAATAAGACATTTAACGAGCTTTAAGGCAATGCACACCATCTATTAACTAATTTCTGATTATTAACATTTTTTTTTAATAACTATTAATCTCTAAAATCTATTTTTAATATTTAAAACAATTAATTTAACTGAATACTACATATAACGAACATTTAAAACAATGAACTCCATCTATTTGCTAATTTCTGATAATTAATATTTTGTTTTTAAGAAATAGTAACTCTAAAATAATTTTTTTTATATTAAAACAATTAATTTAAATAAATGAGACATTTAAAGCAATGCACACCATCTATTAGCTATTTTCTTATTATGAAATATGTTTTTTAATAACTATTAATCTCTAAAATATTTTTTTTAATATTTAAAAGAATTAATTTAACTGAATAAGACACATAACAACATTTAAAACAATGCACACCATCTATTTGCTAATTTCTGATTATTAACATTTTTTTTAATAACTATTAATCTCTAAAATATATTTTTAATATTTAAAACAATTAATTTAACTGAATACTACATATAACAAACATTTAAAACAATGAACTCCATCTATTTGCTAATTTCTGATTATTATATTTTGTTTTTAATAAATAGTAACTCCAAAGTAATTTTTTTTCATATTAAAACAATTAATTTAAATAGATGAGACATTTAAAACAATGCACACCATCTAATAGCTAATTTCTGGTTATTAACATTTTTTTTTAATAAATAGTAATTCCAAAATATTTTTTTTTCATATTAAAACAATTAATTTAAATAAATGAGACATTTAAAACAATGCACACCATCCAATAGCTAATTTCTGGTTATTAACATTTTTTTTTAATAAATAGTAACTCCAAAATAATTTTTTTCGTATTAAAACAATTCATTTAAATAAATGAGACATTTAAAACAATGCACACCATCTATTGGCTAATTTCTGAACCAAAATATTATTTAATATGAAAATATTCCAATTATTTTAACATCATTTTGCATCAGAAAATTTTTCTTTTTGTATTAGGGTTGCATCATCCCACAGGAGCTCAACAGCTAGAGTCAGAGTTAATAGGTAGTAAATACCAGGCTTCAAAGTTGAGCTCCTGTGGCATGATGCAATCCTAATACCAAAAGAAAAATATTCTATAGCAAAATTAATGTTAAAAATGAGTGGCGCACCTATGGGCGGTTATGTTAACTACATTAGTTCCTGATTTTGTCAAGAGATAGCGTATGCTGTCAAATTATGTCATTTTTTTCTAATAATAAATACTACACAGGATATTTTAGTTCAAAAATCAGCCAATAGATAGTGTGGGCTGTCTTAAAAATAAATATTTCTGTCATTTTAGTTAAAAAATTAGCCAATAGATGGTGTGGATTGTTTTAAAACTTGCTAAATGTCTTATTAATTTAAATTAAATGATTTAATTATGAAAAACACTATTTTGGAGGTTACTAATATTTAAAAAAATGTTAATAATTTGTTTTTTGACCTTAAAAAAAATTGATTGTCCTTTTTCCTTCAGTTTTAATGTATAAAATAAAATGTTTGGCATATATTTATGCTATTTTTGGATTAAAACAAAATAATAATCCAATATTAGATAATATTTTAGTTCAGAAACAACCAAATAGATGTTGTGCATTGTTTTAAATGTTGTTTAATGCAGTATTAATTTAAATTAAATGTTTTAAATATGAAAAAAAATATTTTGGAAGATACTGATAGTTAAAAAAGTTGTTAATAATTTGTCTGATGTTACAAATTTGGTCTTTTGGCCTTCAGAACAGTTATTTGTCCTTAATTTTTCAATTGTCATATATAAAATAAAATATTTGACATATATATATGTTCTACCATTCTCATATGTTATTTTTATTTTAAAAAAGACAGAAATAATTCGATATCATACAATATTGATATTCAGGAATTAGACTAATAGATACATTGTTTTTTCTAGGTAATATTTCTAATAGTTCTCACCCTTAGCAAATTTTCTTTAGCTAACGTAAATTTGATTGTATATTCTACCTACAATATAGAATATATCTATATATTAAAAATTGTGGACTTTTAACATAAACATATATATTTCTGTCAACTCATAGGATACTTACTATATTACTAGAATACTAAAACCTTCATTCTCCACGATGTGATTACTTTAATTATATTTACTCGGTGAATGTTTAACGATTTGTTATTGTGTTAATTTTCAAGTTGGCTGATCCTTGTTTAGTTTAAATATTCTAACAATACTTCATTTTTATAAATTCGTAAAGTGTTTTTTTCTTGACATGATTAGCCTTGATATGATTCAGTAAAAAAAAAAACAAAAAAAAAAAAAACAGAAAGAATAATAGTGACCTTACATAAACATTAAATATCATCTCATATTTAGAGCTGTAAATATTATCTTAATATTATTATTAGTTCCTCTCAAATGAAATTTTGTAATATTTATCAATAAAGAAATTTGAAAAATGAAAAGAATGTATTAATAAAATGACGATGAAAACCTGTGCGTTTCAATAAACGGTGAGAAGTTGAAGGAAAAATAGTACAACAAGCAGCTTAAGTAAATGAATTTAAAATTATGGTTTTATTAACCCAATGAGAAAAATAAAACTAACAAAAATATAAAAGAATTCAGGTAAAACAAATAACATAAAAATTATAATACAATAACATAACATTATATATTAGATTTACATAGTTTCTTCTATATTCATATCATATATATATATTTATACAATAATTGCCTTAAGGAATATTTACATTCACTATATACCAATAAATAATATGAAACTATTAACGTTAATATTAATAAATAATATTAATATTATCGTTAATATTACTTTTTAGCTAAAATGGTATTACAAACTAGTTAAGTACAATAAAACAAATTTACTTTAGTATCATTGCTTTTAAAAACATTAATCCTATTTTTTATTTTTGACGTATATTCAGTACATTCATTTTTAGGAATTATTCTTAATAGAATTATTTTAACGAATCTTCTTATATTACAAAGGATATGGACCTTGATGTTAATTATTTTTTCATTATTGTAATCTTAAAATTAATGTTGTATATTAACAACAATTCGTCGGCAGCCTGAGGGCAACGTTCTACAACATAGAGTTGAAAAAGCAAAAGATTAGTTTCAACTTAGAGCCTCATGAACTTGCTTTCGGGCTGCCAATTAATCGTAATCGATATTTAATTCTGAAGATTATCAGAAAATAATTCTTTGAAAAGAAAAAACATTGGAGATTCCAACAATAGCAAATGATTTAAGCTAACTATTTTATTATAAATGTATGTACTACAGGTCCAGTACTAATGAGTAGTATTATCAATTATGAAGCCTAAGGAGAAAAAGAAACAGATGTCACTTTTTTTTTTTAATTGAATTATTGGTAAAACTGGATTCATAATGAAAAATTCCATTATTCCATGGATTAGATATTGTTTATTGATTTTTTTTCATACTAATTCTATGGAACGATGCAGCTTTTCATAATGAATCCTTTTGCAGTGAAACATCCCTTAATGGACATTCTCTTAAAAAGACATTTTTTTTTCCCTGTCAAGAGTCCCAATCAAACTATTCGATTTTTCTTCACCTAATATTTAGTTCGATAATTACGATTCCAAGTCAGTTTAACCTGTGTTGCTAGCACATTAAAAAAAAATTACAAGTAAAACATGATAATAGCCCAGCTAAAAAATTACTTTTGAATCAAGGGGTCGTGCAATCAACTAAATCATATTTGAATTGATCTGTCAAGCTCGAACCAATATCGTTATGATGACAGGCCTACTATTATATAATATTAAACGCTTTACAAGGTGTCTAAAGTTTGTGGCATATTGGTTTCAAAGCCAGTATGTGCATAATGTTTGTACCTTTATTGTAAACTAGGGCTTGAAATACAGAGCAAAAAACTCTTTTGTTTTTAAAAAGTTTCAGCATCGCAGAATTTTTATTTTCTATAGTTTTTCAGTTTTTTTGGAACTGGAAATTTTTCCCTTGCTAAATTTCAAGTAAAGATTTTACAGAACTTTTATTTTTAAAAAACATTTATCTAAAATATCTGTTGACTTCCCTAAAAAATGACTTTTATTCATAGCCACTCAAACAAACGAAACATTGTGAATCATGTGTGATTCATTTAAGACAAATTATAACTCTAATCTGAGCCCAATTACTATTTAATTTAAATTTAACAGAACTTTTTTATTAGAGCTTTAAGATCAGATCATAAATCTGAAACTTAATAACAAAAAAATTCCTTTTATATTAATAACTTTTTTCTTAAAAAGTTTCGAGCCCTGTAATATATTACTCTATACAATACTACTATATTATATACTATACTACTATTATTACTACTCACATTTCTTTTTTATTTCAAGCATATTTATATGCATACTTTTATCATTTGCACATCTTTTATTCTTCTTAATTCTTATAGACAGACACTTCTTTCATTCGCACAAAATTTACATCCTTTATTGTTATAGGGAAATTCCTCTATATACCTATAATTCAATTTTAAAAAAATAAGTGACACTTTTTTTTTTTCTTCCTACCTTTCATATATAAATTTATCAACTGTAAATAACTCATTATTAAGTTAGTTGTTATTAGAATACATTTACAATTGAAAATGACTTATTAATAGACAAGAAATAATGTTACGAAAGAACAACAAAAGTAATTGCAATAAAAGGTCCAAAACATTTTCAAAATAAATAGATTAATTAAAATAATTTCATCAATCCTATTCCTCAATTCGAATGTTCTTTCTTATTAACGCCAATTAAAAGTTATGGTTCTGAAGTGGATGAAAAATACAATTACATTATACCTTAAAATTCAAAGATACTTAATTCCCAAAATCAAATTCTATCTAACATCGTAGGCTATGTAATTAATTACAATTATTTTCAATTAAACATGGAAGCTGCATAAGGAAGATATGTAAGCATTTATAGGCTTTCTTCAAATGATATTATGTTTTTTAAAAATTGCTATAAAGAATGTAAAAATATAATATAGGCAATTGAAAAGGAAGAAGTCTATGCCACAAAGATTTCAGCAAAAAATATAATAAATCTAATACGACAAATATCACAGACTGAAATAAAAGGGTCTGCCAGGGAGGCTTTGATGACAAATAATGTTTCCGTACATAAACAATGATTGAGGAAAAAACTCCTGACGACAGAGTGGCAACAAAAAGTATTGGCACACCTTATTTTTTCTCCTTTATCTCATACACATTAAAATTATACATAATTTTATCATAATATTAAAATAAATTATATAAGAAACAATAATTTTGGAAAATTATAATGAATAATAAGCTTTTAAAATCCAGTCTACACACAATATCATACCTCAAACTATCTCACTTTCTTTCATTTTATCTTTCCTTTTTATAGATTATGATTCATGTGTCTATTCTTTGCTAGTTTAGTTTATTTGTCCTTAAAAGTATAATTACAATATTACGGTAGAGTCCTGTAGGATAGACATTCAGTTAATCTAAGCAGGATTAAAATAAAACTAATTAAATTTTTAATATACTAACCATAAAAAAATTTAAATAGGTATTACTTAAGCAAAATTTACACAAGAATGTAATTACGTAATACAAAACTGTTTTGTTTATATTATTCAAAATGTATTACATATGTCAGAAAGTTGCCAACAATCCATTCACACCTTCCATTTTTTTAAAAAGGTTTATTTCAATTTTTTTTATTCTTAAATTTTACATTAAAACATTAACGAATTGTTTGATGTTTGGTACATTACAATAAATAAATTTAGATTTTTAACCGCAAAGAAGTTTTATTTTGTTAAAACTATTTTAGTTTGTGGATCTGAAACATAGATCTACTTCTGAATTAAGTAGTAGATAAAATAAAATCAAGTTCAAAGGAAAATATGTTTTTCTGAGAAAAAAGTTAATAAAATATTTATCATATACATTTTACAACTAACGCAGGACTCTACTGAATTACAAATATATTGATAATTATTCAAACATTATATTACAGTGTTTCATTAATAATATTGAATCAAGTAAAATTATAAATATTCATAATCATATATCACCATGGTAATAACTATTATAAATAATCCACATTTATATTAATATTAAATATATAAGTGCAAATTCACATGAATATACGTATATGTATATAAGTATCTACATACTTATGAGATGTAACACAGATATTTACATATATACCGAGATGCAAGAACAGTAATTCAAAAAGTGGTGCTTAGTACAAAAATGATCATACTTGTGGTGTTAAGGAACTTTTCCTGGCAACTACAGTTACATTTATATATTTCTTATGTTGAAAATATACAAATAAATTATTATATATATATATTTTTTTTTTAGTTTTTAAGTAATGCTCGAAAGCATTAAGTTATTTAAAAAAATATCACAAAAATAGATACATATCAATGGTTAAATTATGAGGCCCCACAACAGCCCAGAAACTAATTACAATAATTAAAACACAAACACACTCTTAAAATTAAAATGATGTCCCAATTCCCTCAGATTTAAACATAAATTAATAATACCTCTACGGAGTCAAGGAACATGAGCAATGGTGATCTCAAATTATATATTAAATACATAAATAATATATTTAATACTGTAAAACCTCAATTATTTGGCATGTACCATACAAAACCATGTTTCCAATTATCCTTGCCTAGCCCCTTCTTATTCTGGCTTGAAAGTGATTAAAACGTTATTTTACTTAAGGTGTTTTCTGTTTGTTATATTAATCATGGAACTGAGAGTTTGTCATCAGAGCACAATTTCACAGATATTGGGTCTGTGTACATTAAACATGCATACGTTCTAATATGGGAGAAGATATCCAAAAACAATATAATTTTCGGAGTATTCAAAATTTCTAAATAAAACAAAAAACTTTATCAATTCCGTAGACATTAACTAGCAAGGATATTAATTTTTTCCTTCATATCCTTCAATATTAAATTATTTAGTATAGATCCTGTATTATTCCAAAATATTACCATTAATGTCTCTAAGAAATTTAAATATCCCCTTAATATTACGTATTACAACAGTTGCCTAGTAATTTTATCAATTTCTAATTCTATTTAGGATATGAGGTTTGTAAATATTAAGAAATTACTGTTGCTAGAGCTGTATTGCAACATTCATTTGTACATAATAGCTTGATTTTTTGACAAAATTAATATGATTTTTTTTTTTTTTTACAAGCAGACGATATAAAGGAATGGAATATTCAGTAGCTGAATATGATAAACCGGGAAGGTAACAAAATTTATAATAATTGTACTTTGTTCATAAACAGTGCATGCCTACTCATGAGGAGCTAATCCATCATATTAAAATAAAAATGGACAACTAACAGAAATATGAATTAAAAAATGTTTTAACAATGGCCTGAAAATAGTTTGCTTTTCGTATAAAAAATTAGATTGATTCTTAACCAAAAAGTAAATGCTATGAAGCACTAGCAGATCCGGGATTTAATTTTGAGGGGGGGGAGGGGAGGACTTCAGCCCGAAAGCTTTTTTTTCATACATGTATAATGATAATTAATTTGAAAAAAAAAAAGGGAAGAAATTAACTACCTATATGAAATAGTGATTAAATGATTCTCGAAGTTCTATTAAATGTAATTACACGAACAATAATACTTTAAGAGATAGTTTTTATTATTTTTTTCTATAAAATGTGATTATATTTTACCATTTTGGGGGAGTGGGAGGGGCTTCAACCCGAAAGTCCCTCCCCCCCCCCCCCCGTAGATCCGCCTGTGCTATGAAGTATTGGCATTTAAAATAAATTAAGGAAGCTTGGACATGAAAATCTGTCTTATCAAAGCAATCATTCAGGCCTCATCCCTAATAACTAAATTTTAAGTAAAAGAAAACTTTTTATGATCAAACAATTACTGTGAAAAATGCTTTGTTTAAATTAGAATTTCTTTAAATTGATTATATCATCGTTTTCTTTTTTTAAACAAGACATCAGGATTTTCTGAATACAGAATAAAATTAATACCACCTCCTAAAATGAATATAAACAATTTTGGAGGTCATTTTAAGTAAAAAATTATATTGACCTAGTTCAATTACAGAACTATAACAAATAAAAAAAATAAATAAATAGCATTTTTACAAAAAAAAAACAACAACAGAATATTGTTATTTTTTATAACAGCAAAATGGAAGTATTATAAAAATTACCCAAAATGTAAATTCATATGATCAATATAATACGTTATTTATCAAATAACTTTACATACATTTTTTCTACATTATATATAATCTTTCCACAAGGATAAAATTAAAGAGGATTTATTTTTTATTATTGCTAGTTTATAATAAGGAAGAGGCAGGCAGCAAGTATGTTTTTTTAAACACTTCTTTAGAAAGCCAAGTTTATTGGGACAAAATGAAAAATAGTTTGACTTCAGATGCACCAATAAAACTAACTAGCGTGAGAACACCAATATCAACAGTGCTATGAAATATAAAGTAAAATAGCAAAATCTGAGAGTGTGTCAGGGCAGAATATAAGATTAACAGTTCCAATTTCTATTGACAAAAGCTACAGCATCACGTTCATTCTAACTAATCATATTCTAGCGGATTCAATCCATTCAGCACAAAAAGAGGCCCAGAATAAAAGAAAAGTCACCTACTGTGTCCGAGGAATTACCTGAATCACAGCCGAATTTCATCAAATCATCGCTTCAAGTCGATATGGGCTTTGAGAACTTAGTTATTATTGAGAAATTTAACAGCTTTTTTAGTTGGTGATCTCATTAAAAAAAAAAAAAATAGTAATTGAAAAATTTCAGCAGACTTAAATTCACACAAATACTGATAAAAAAGTTGCAAGACAGCAAAATATTCTCCATTAAAAGAATTTACAAAAGTATAAAAATAACATTAATAGTTTAAACTTAAGTGTAGAAAGATACAAAATTTTTTTTTTTGCCAGATACGAAAACCACTTAAAAAAGGGAATCAAGTTCTTGTTTTCATTTGAATCAGACCGTCAGTCAAAATTTTATGTTTAGCTATAATTTTATAAGTTCAGTCAAAACCATTTCTTTCCCTCCTGAGTTTCACATGACGAGAATGAATCATGCGATTATTATATCACTTTATTTCTTGACAATCTATCACATTCTCAAAATATGACGTAGTTAAACAATGAAGGGACTAGGGAAAGGTAATATATATATTTAAACTAGACACTTTAAATGGTGCTGAGGGTCCATCGCTGAGTCTGCAGGGACGAGTCGCACTTCTCTGCAGTCAATCCCATTGCAGAATGTCTACTGTCGACACATAAAGATAATCGAGCATGCTTCAGCATACTTCCACTGTCTGAATCGTCATCGATACGCCTCCATTCCTATCAAAAAAATAATAATTATTGAAGTATTACAATGGAAAATTCAACAGGAATACAATTGAAAACAAAGTAATTATCGTATATAAGTTATTTTTCAAATATTGTTTTGACTTTGATTAAAAAAATGAAACAAGAAAACAAATTAAAAACAGTATTTTAAATTAAATGACGACCTTGATAATCCAAACATGCAAATCGCATAGCCTGCTGGGATTATTATAATGTTCAGATAAAATTAAAGATATATTAAAATTATGGAAAAATTGCAGAAGGTAACGAAAATATATGTATTATCAGTTAAATATAAACACATTGCAAACAAAAATATTATTTCTGAAAATGATCATACAATGTTTTTGTAATCATGTAACAGTATGTTTGTTATATGTTTTTATAGTCAGTAATGTTTTTCATATAATCACATACATTTTTTTGATAAATACAAGGCCTCATTTCGTAAATATCTTAAAAGATCAAGGCTTAGATAGTCGATGTTTTATCCATTCGCCCTCTTATACCAAGAGAATTAAATGTCTTAATGGAGATGCCTCATTCTTTAAACTGACTGGTGTCAAAAAAGATTCTTCCTGGATATTACTGTGCATTAGAACTCAGGAACATAAAATCTTGGCACAATATTGCTTTGCTGTCAGTGCGCCAACAATACTGTCAAGGATTGTATGGTCACCCATATACATTCCACCTTATAAAGCAACAATTAAATTTATCGACAGTTTATTGTAAATAGTCACTAACAATAAACCAGTCAGTGGGTCGCCGATTTCAACAATCACCGACTTTTTTTATTTTTTATACTATTTCAAAAAATATTGGACACATATAAGATAGAAGAGCTGTGCTGAGATTAGTCGTCACGGCAACAACTTCACTTTTCATTATGATGGTTTTGCTTGGCATTAATAACTAAAACAGCCATAACTTCTCAGGATTTGATCCTAAATCAGTGTATCTACAACTGTTGGAAAACTAAATTATCGCTCTTCATGTCAGTATAAATAACTTTTTGATTTAACACTTTCATAAAGAATATATAAATAAAAACTCCTAACAGGTTTTTGTTTTATAACTTCAGTTCTAAATTATTTTGGGAGTTACAATTTGTGTCATTTTGTGTATTTTAGAAAGCCCTATATCCCTGCTAAATTTTGTGGGGATGGGTGGAAGCATATTAAAATTATCACACTTTTAGTGATTTAAAAAAAAAAATCAAAGGGGGTAGTCCAATTTTTCGATCGCTGTGAAAATTCGTATTTGACTCTCTTTCGAGCTGTGAAATACAAATCTCAAGTCTGTTTCTCCTTAAAAAATATTTGAACACACTTTTTTTTTCTTTTTTTTTTGTACGTAATTTAGTAATCTTTCTAATAATCATAAGTATAATCAAGAAAAACATGCATACTTTTTGAGTTATTCTCAAATAAAGGTTCTTTTCCTCTAAGAACTCTTAAGAGACTCTTTTATCAAAAAATTCCACGTAGTTGAATTTGTCTAGGAAATAACTGATTTTGATTGGAAAAAATTATATATATAAGTATATATATTTATGTATTTAAATATATATATAAATACAATTTTTTTATGAACTGTTAAAACTTGTCTTTAAATGTTTTTCTATACTAGGTTCTATCATCAATTGTTATCTATTTGGCATATACTGTAAACAACATATGCTAGAGAGACAGGAGATACAATACTCAAGATGCTATAAACATTTTGTTAGTCGTTAACTGTTGATAGTCATCTCAAGCCTAAATTCTAACATTATTCAATATACTAATGTTATCATTTTAACCTGATGTGGTGAATTCTCGCAAACTGTCATTAGTAATGGCTGGCCAGGGACATCTGAGGAAAGTGTAAGACAAAATTCATGGTGCTTTATAGCACTGGACGTAAGTGACCAGTCCTGGTTGCCGCCGGTATCGTGGCATGGGTACAATCCAGGCAAGGCGCCAGCACCTCGACCCATTGTATCCAAGCAGAGAGGGCCTTGCCTTATGTTGCCAGCCGGGCTGGAGCTGCTGAATGAAGGGATTTTCAGTTCTGGGTAGACGTGCGACAAGTACCATGAGAAAGGTTTGCAGTGAAGTTTTTCCCTCAGGGCAAGTCTCTCATCAATACTGAAATAACAATCAAATGTTAATAAAAGGAATATGTTCTTTTGATAAAGATTTAGTAGACAGTAATATAGGGCAAGTTTCTAAACTCAGCCCTCAGCTTCACTAAACCATCTATAAGCTCATAATTGAATTTAGCTTGATCCTTTATTCATCGATGAATAAAAAAAATCTTTCTAACACCACCATAAAGTAAACGAAATGAACTGGAATGAGAAAAAAACAAACAATTTAACTGCCTAATAATAAGATTGGTTTTAGAATATCAGTTCAAAACTGACATAGAAATATCCATAGATCTAGCAGATAGCAATATGGTACATAAAATTTAATTTTTACCACCAATTTTACATGAAAACTTTATTACTTAAAGTTATTATTATATAAAGTGATTTTTAAAATCATTGGTAATAAGTCATTTATTCATAAGTATTTTTTAATTTTTTATTATATTACAGCCACATTACAAAAGCCAGTTAGAATAAGGTGACCAGATGTCCCACTGTCACCCCTTCCTTGTCTTTTGGGCTACACGGGTTTTATTCCAGACCAAGGGAGAGGGTGGGGGAATTATGCCGAGATAAAAGTCCCATCGGGCACCAGGATTTGAACTTGTAATTATTTTTCTATCTCAAACTTTGGTTATCGGGTAGCCAGGCAACGCACCGTTAAACACGTAAGCCCACTCGGCCACCCCGCCCCCACTTGTTTGGAATTAATGAATGAACTAAATTTCAATCAAGAACTCTCCCCTCCCCTCTAGTCAATGTTATCCTGCTTTACCAACTAATCTCCTCTGACTCTCCCCGGAAAATGTTGTCCCGCTTTACCAATGTTAAAATCTGGTCACTTTATGTTAGAACAAAAACTAAAAATTTTTAAGAGATGAAAAAAGTGCATGATTTTTAATCTATGAGCATTATATAGATTTTGATGATTGGTTGGTTTAAAAATATGAAATTATAGTTCTTTTTTCATTTCATATAAAATTTTCCTCTTAATGAAATCAATTTTTTCTCTCTCACTATCTGGCATTCAGCGGCATTGTAGCTTTTTTCTAGTCAAGCTCATTTTGCAGTTGCCAGAAAGTTTCGATTGTTTTGAAGGCCGTTCAGTATTATATTCCCACTAACCATTCTCTTCTTTGCTTCTTCTAGTTTCGTGGTAAGCAGTGCCCGGGCATTTGCCCGGAGGTGCCAGGTTGAAAGTGCCCTCCATTTATTATAAATAAAAAAAAAAAATTGAAATCGTATGAAAAAAAATTAAGTTTAGCCTTTTAATAAAAATAATTAATACTGTAATCTATATGAAAATGTTTTATACATTCTATATTTATATGGCCAACTTTCATTGAGCATTTCATTATGTTTTTTCGGTATTGACACAATATCTGTTACCTCCACTGTAACTTACAGTTTGTTACATCACAAATTGCTGGTTTTTAAGTTATAGGTTTTTCCAAAGGCCATAGAGAAGAAATGCAACATTGTAGATTTCATTTTGTGGGATCAGAATATGTGGTAGGACAACTTGACCAAGCTCAAAACCTCATTTTCCAAAGAAATTGTCCTTACAGACTTTTACAGAATGGCTGTCAATATATTCAATTATTGAATAAGGAGATCAACATTACGGTAAAAAAACTTAAAAAAGAGGAAATATATTGTTATAAAATTCTACTGTAACATTTTCATTACATTAAAAGGTTTGTATGTATTCTCTGAAATGAAGAAACACCAGTTTTTATTTCATTATTAACAGAAAGCAGATCATAGAGAGCAGATGAATAAAATCTGCCATATTTTCCATTTATTATTAATTTTTTTGTTTCTAGCTATTGTCTCATCAGCAATCAATATTAAATATTATCCATAGCTTTCTGCCGGTCATTTCATGTAATTTTAAACAACTTTTTCTATACATTTAAAATTCATTAATGTAAATTATTAAAAACTCACCGAGAAACAAAAAGTCAATGTTAGGTTATAATTAGAAAAATTCCAACCACGTAGCCTTAAGTCTTTAAAATGCAGATAAAAAATAAAATAAGCCGTCAATGTTTCGACAATTTAGACATCATCAGGACAGGAAAGAAAACAAACCCAACATCACATCACTCCATGATATTCAATCTCATACTGCCATTTAAAATTCATTTTTTGTAAAATACAAAGAGCATGTCAAAATCTTTATATGAATTCCACTATCACAACACCAGTTATATTTATTTTCAAACAAAAACAACACCAAGCTGAAGAAAAATATTTATATTCAATGGAACTAAAAAGAAATGAAAATTATTACGTCGGAAACTTACTTTCCAAAAGGTACAGCTTTTGCTAAAGGCACCGCTGAATAATAATAAGATTTGTACTCATCCATCCAAACTTCGGCGGCTCGTCTGGTGTTTCGAGCAAATACATTTCCACTCCCTCCTGGAAATGTATAAGGATGTCTTTTTCGGAAGACGTGTCCAACTCTTGAGCAGGGAATTATTTCTAAACTGCCTCCACACTGCCATACTCGGAATGATATTTCTGGAAGAAAAATATAATTAAGTATTTATAAATTTTAATTAAGGAATAATCAGAGATCTGAGCATAGAACTAAAGAAATAGAAATAGAAATATAAAAACATCTTTATTCTGGGGCTAGGTCCCTTAAGAATAATAATATTGTTCAAACCAATTGACAATAAATCTGGCCAGATGACCTATTATAATAAAGAGTATCTAAAATCTAAGTAGTAAAGTGAGTATATACATAGTTTTGGAGGGTATATTAAGGAAAGCGAATGGGTAAAAAGGTTACAATATTACAATATTGGTACAAAAAAAACAAAAAAAAAACTAAAAACTAAATAGAACTGGAAAGAAACGCTACGCTAAATAAGTTTTATAGGTGACCAAGAACACACAACTATTCAATAATTAAATAAACTAATGATTGCAAATTGTTTCATTATTTTCTTTTTATAACTAGGTAGGAGAGAATGTCGCCAACCACACTGCAAAACCCTATAAGTGCAAAAATTACAACTATTTATAAGAAAAAATAAACCACGTATTTATTGCTTCATGAACTTGATTTTTTATTCATGTGCTTTATTGTGTGCTTTAACAAATATATAATGTTTTAAATAACATTTTTTTTAAGTATTTACGATCATGAGTGAGCCTAAAACTGATAAAAAATTCTTAAAACCGCACTTTCTAATAAAATTGTACTTACAGGCTTTTGTAGTGATATTTATATATTTATCAACTTTTTTTTTCACTCATTAAGTAGTAAAATAAATAAATAAAAATCATAGATTGGACAGACCTCAATACATAATAATACGGTCAGCTTATTTATAATAATGTGAAGTATAGTAAAGGTAAAATGTAGTAATGGTATTAGGTAGAAACTAAAAATATGCATAAATCATAAAATTCATGATAAAAAATTTTACCAAGGTTTTCTCCACCCCATACGTCCATAGCCATGTCATATTTTCCAAGATGATAAAAATATTCTTTATCAATAGAAAACAGTCCACCAGCAATCATTGGTGTTCTAGAATATAAAATAATCAATTATTACGATATACAAATATGGAGGTTTATTAACATATTAGATGCACTATAAATAAACCAATATCGATTATAAATTATTAAATATTTAAAAAAAAGCATCTTGGATGAAATCAAAATAATTAAATAAGAGAAAGTAAATGAGTATTTAGTAAAGAAAGCAGTTGGAATTTGTATTGGCAACTCGTTACTTGTAATTCTGGGTTATTTTAGTCAAGTCAAGTTTATATAATGTAATCACTTTCCACAGCTAACCTAAGAAACCATTGCTGAACAGAGAAAAATCAAAGATTAAACGACATATTTCTGATAAGTATTTACAGATATCACAAAATCACGGAACAGTATGACAATAATTAGATATCTTAAAATGTTATTTATTTAGAATTTTTCATAAATCAAATAAAAAACATTTCATTGATAAAATAGAGAATAATAACAGGAATTTTAAAGTTTATCATTTATGAATCCCTTTACCTGATTGGTTGAGTAGGATCTTTTGCTCTTTCTGCTCTTTCACCTGGGCTCAAATACTCCCACTTGAATACGAGGTTCCAATCGAATCCACCACGAAGGTCCGATGATGCCCCAATGTAATGAAATGTATCCATCGAGATGACATCAATGATTGGGCAAACCACGCGTGTTTTGTCCTAAAATACAATAAATATGATCATAACATTTGAGTATATTTAGTAAAAAGTAACTAAAATAATGTTATTGTTCTTTTGTTATCATAAATTAAAAGTGATAAATAACATGGGAATAAAAATCTAAAAGATTCTTCTTAAAATATTATTGAAGAGAAGGATGGTTGGAGTGATCAGTCAAAATAAAATAGTAAAAATGAATACAATTCTTTAGTTTTACTATTTTATTTTGACTGAGCATCTCAACTACTCTTCTCTTCAATTATTCACTACAGTCAACCATCAACCCAAAATTAAAAATTAAAAATAGTAAAAATAAATAATTATATTTTTATAATTAATTATATGACATGGTTGATTGTACTTATAATTTGACAAGCTGGTCGGGAATGCAGTCAATATATAATACTATGTTATACAATAGTATTTTTTTTCTATCATTTTTCAAAGTTTCAACGTATGTTATCGGTCTTCTTCAGGGCATTCCATCTGGCACTATCCGAAACAGTTGGGAGAATGGTAGTCTGATGATTGATAAGGTAGAACTATGATTCTACGACGTGTCATGTACACTTGTCACGTGCACTACATGTCAGACTCACACTTCTATCTTCCCAGACATCAGACTATCATTCTCCCGACTACTAACGGCAGTGCCAAATGGAACGCTCTGAAGAAGACCTACAATGCCAGTCAAAACATTGAAAAATACAATAAAAAAATACTATATATTTTTTACTGGTACTATATTTACTGGCCCTACCCCAGTTTTGAAACCAAACGCCTAAATTGGAAAACTATAAAAATATGCATATTTTTAAAATACTTTTTAATTTCTGATTGAAGTACCATACCTCATCTATTCTTTCTAGTAATGGTTCAAGCCAATCCTTGTTACACTCAACATGGCTATCTAAGAATGTAAGGACTGGGGCAATGGCAGCTTCGGCTCCTTTGACTCTAGACCGCATAAGTCCTAAAAATTAAAAAAACAAAACAATGAATTAGAATGTTTTAATAATAAAAGAATACCCTGAAATATTAAAATATTAGTAATATTATTAGCAAAAGTTTTTTTAATATTCAATAAGCTAACAAATTCATACATAGCAATGAATATAGAATAGTACATAAAAATAAATCACACAAAAGTAATAAATATACCTTCTCTTTTGTCATTTCGTATTACTCTAACTTTTTGTATTTTCGAAAGTTCTTCCCCATCCAAAGCTGAAATATAAAAATGAGAGGTAAGTTGGAAATCAAATGAAATTCATTCATTTAAGAATAACTTCCATAGGAAAAATAATGTGATGAAATTATAATAAATTTATACATATATGTATTTGGGAAATATAAATAATAAACAAGATCTAAGTTCTTAAATTTTATTATTCACAATTTAATAAGTTTTTTTTTTTTTTAAAGTAAGCATTAAAACATCACAATGCAATTATCACTGTATAGGAAGATACAACCAAAAATGTACATAATTTGTGAAGATCTAAAAGTTAAGCACAAATAAAAATCCTTTTGTTATTATTATAATTTTAAATATATATCTATATATACATTTAGCAAGCTTTTGTTTATAATTTTAAATATATATATATATATATATATATATATATATATATATATATATATATATATACACTTTTGTAAGTAACTATGAATGGTTTTTATGAATACATAGATATGTTATTGGTATATTAATAACTATTAATTGGAATATTAATATTAGTAAACAAAATAAAATTTGATAAAACAATAAATTTGTTACTTACGATTATCACTGAAATCATCGACGAGAATGATTTCTTTGATGAGGTATTCAGGACTTCTATTGAGGACACTGCAACAACAAAAAATAATTATATGTATAAATGAAAAAAAAAAAATACAAAATTAAAATTATTTACACATGATTGGATTGATTTATTTTTGTCTAAAAAGATAAATGTCTAAATATATATGGTGAGTGATATCACCATATTATTTTTGTTTAATCAAATTTATAATTGTACATTATTTGTTTACAACTATCCACTCATTTATTTTATTATAGTAAAAGTTGAGACGCTATGACATTAGAGTCATAAACTTTTAATTTACTTTTATTTATTGATACACATTATATGGTTATTACATGTTAATGAATTTTCCTACGTTATTTATAGCTATAAACTTTATAGTCTACAAACAATAAAGTTTGTCTTGTACTTTAATAAATATCTCATATAGTTTATAAATATATGTTTATGGTGAAGGAAACAATAGATATTCATTAAATCAAATGAAAAAAAAGCCATCTGCTTTGATCCTGGTATTGTAATGTTTTGACTAGATATGATTAAGTCAACGTTTTGCTTCCTCAGATTATCAGATCTAAAAAATAAATAAATATATTATATTTTGAATTCAGTTTAATTTATACTTGGTTTTTATAATAAATTTCTTCTATTTTATATTAATCATGATTTTAATCTATATAAATTATAATGAAAAGATAATCTAACATACCAATAGTAAAAAGTGATTGAAGGGGCAAAACGTTTTAAATTAATAAAATATATCAAACTAACAGTCAAAAGGTCCTGTATAGGTTATGTCTGAAATACTCTGGTATCGAACTCCTTTAGAAGAAGCAGAGAGCCTAAAGACAGATTGCTTCCATTTATTGAGCTAATCTACTTCCACAGGAACCAACAGATAAATTTTTACTCTCCAAGCGGGAATTTATTTGAAACAGGTTTCGACAGGGGGTTTCTCCTTGGACTTACAAATGAACACCAGCTTTGTTTTTTTTTTTTTTTGTCTCTCTGGGCTTTAACAAGATGTTTTTTTTTTATCAATATGTAAAATTATTACGGTTTGAATAGCTGTTTTACATGAGAAAATATAGAAAAAAAAGCTGAGCGTTTGTACAATTAAAATACTCTGTAAAAAATTAAGATTTATATTATATTAACATTCAATTTAAAATGAACAGTAAAAACTAGACAGATATAGTTAAAAAAACGTTTTAATATAAGATGGACAGCGAATTATAGTGAGTTTAAGAACAATATGAAGGATTATAGCGGAAAGTTAACACACTTGGTTGGCTAGAAAACTCATGAAAAATAAGAAATATATAGGAGATATTTACTTGCTGAAGTTTTTAGTTTAAAAAAAGAAATAAATTTATAGTAAGAGCTATAGTCTGCAATTTTTTTTAAGGTGCTTTGTAAACAAACAACTTAATTAAATTCTGGATGCTTCATTAAATACCCAACTTAAAGGAAGAATTCTAACCAGTGATGGCGCTACGTGGCCTATCCTCGTACTTCAAATCTCGTACATCGTCATATACTAGGTCATCGAAAATTCGTCATATTGTAGACTCAATGTTATTGTTTTTTCTTATACAAATCAAATCAGAGATTTGCTTATTTTTCAACATATATCTTTTAAAACCTATTTACATTATTTTTTTTTAAGTTAATGGGACAAGAAGTAAAATGAGATTAAATTAAATAAGTTTAATAAATCATATATAAATGTACTCAGTATTATTTAGCTTTATTTCGGTGCCGTACCACTTTAATAAGGGTCGTCGTATTCGGTGTTTAAATCAACAAAAAAAGGAACGTGCTGCATTCTAGTTATTGGCCGATCGATGAGCTTAGGAACGGCCTGGCGGAAATATAGTCAAACGGAAATTAAGAGCCTTAAACCTGATATCATTAAATATATATATATTTTTTTTTTTTTTATTGAATAATAATACAATCAGCCACTGTTGGAGGGCTATAAGTATTAAGGCTAAAAGTTCTCATTCATACAGTATATACAAGTAATACAGAAGTAACTATAAATATAAAAAGTAAATAAATAATACTTATACAAAAATGTAAATCAATAGAAAAAAAATAAATAAAATAAAAAAATAAATAAACAAAATAAAATAAAAACTTCTAAACACATTCATACCTATATACAATATATACATTCGCCCAGGAATCTCCGAGCCAGGCTTTTCTCCCCACATGTGGAAAGCAAGCAGGACTCCAGAGATCCCAGTGCCATCATTAAATATAGAAAAAAATATGCTACATAAAACGAAATGCTAATGCTACACACTTATATAGCGAATATTCAATCACATTAAACAATAATCTGTAGAAGGGACACCAAGACTTAAAAGTTGTATTCTATTTACGAAAATTCTCGTAACTGGGGCGATTTCAATATATAGATTGGCAAACTTTGTCTATTTAATTCGTTTCTAAAAATTTATGAACACTCATTTGCTTTCCACTTAAATCGTAAGATAATACGATTTTAGTTTACAAAAAAAAAAGTGACCTACAAAAATATTGGGCCATTTGACGTGACCTCAGTCCTCATCATGTCGAAATAACGAGCTCATGTAGGCCAAATAGCCTAATATTTTCGCAGGCCACTTTGTATCGATTTTGGGATCAAACTGTCTTAAGATTCAAATGGAAAGCAAATGGGTATTTATGACTGTTTTTAACTTCATTAAACTAATTAATGTAACGAGAAAACGCCTGGTTGATAAAATTTGTTTAGGTTACAATATAATTTGATAAAAAGAGGTCTGTACCGCGGACTACAAGTTTCTAATCTCATTCATGGAAACCATTAAAGGAATTCAGAGTGTATCTTATTTATTGGTTGAAGCATCGAAGACTCAGAGGTTCCATCAGCTCTTGAAATAGATTTAGCTTCATTATACCTTCAGTGTAGTTATTTCCCTGTTTCCTTTTCATATTTATATTCAGTTTACTTTCTACCCATATTTCTGTATTTAAATTCAACAATTCGGTAGGTAGATGTTTCCTTAATACATTTTTTAAATTTTCATGGGTTTTGTTAAATTTCTTTCGCTAGAATTGCAGTACATCAATTGAATAGTGTGATCGTTTCCACTGACGGAATTACCGCTAATTTAAGGACCATAAGCTTGTTATTATCATGTTTTTCGACAGTTTAGAATATTTCCTCTAATTTAGGCTTTTAATGAAACATCTAGAACTTAATTAAGTCTTTTGCTTAGAACATATAAGGAACAAAGCGCCTTAAAAACAAACAGCGGATTATGGCCCTTACTGCCACGTCTTGAAGGCCTAGTGGATTGACGCCGTGATATGATCGACACGTATGGACAAATTACAAACGACTTTAAGACTGATTAAGTATTACTTTTTATTGTAATTTATATTGTATTTATTGCATAAATAATTACCTTTAATGATTTTGGGCAAGACTAAATTACAAGACACGTAAATTAAAATAAAAAAAAAATAGTAGAACTTCAATATACTTATTAAACGAATAAAAATAAATTATTAACTAATTTATAGTCCGTGGTACACACCCCTTTTAATCAAATGGTTAAAATCCGGCTGAAACTTCGTGAATAGCTTCATCTCATCGTAAACTACAAATATTTCATTTACGAAAACTCTTGGAATTAGGACGTTTTTAATCTGAATATGGGCAAACTATTTTCTATTTAATTAGATACTAAAAAATCGTAAATACCCATTTTCTTTCCACTGAATCGCAAGATAATTTGATCACAAAATCGAGGATAAGAGTGCCCTACAAAAATATTAGGCCGTTTGGCCAATATAACCTCGTATTTTGACATTTTGGAGGTTTAGGTCACACCAAACGACTCAATATTTTTGAAGGCCAACATATTGAAGTTGAAAGCAAATGGGAATTTACGAATTTTTAGGACCTAATTAAATAGACACTTTACCGATCTCCAGATTGAAAATCCGAGAAATTTTGTAAATAAAATAGTTGTAGGTTACGATGAGATGAAGCTATTTACGAAGTTTCAGGCGGATGTTAATAATTTGATAAAAAGAGTACCACGGACTATATATTTAATCACTATAATAAAAAAATTCCTAGAAACCATTTAGAGTTCATTATAGTAAGAATCATTATTTTGGTAAAATTATATACCCAATATCATTATAACACACGATAACAAATTCTGAGCTAATATAAAAAAGAAATATATACAGTTTTCTCTAAAATTAAATTTAATATGACCTACGACCATTAGTAGGGGGTTGATTGTGCTATGAGATAAAAACCGTCAAATCACGTTTCTATTTATTTTTTATTATTTTTTTAAAGAAACAGCAGCTTTCAATACTTATTTGATATGAAGTCACTCATTTGTCCAAATGAAGTCCAAGATATCAAAACTGTTCAATAGGGATAAGTGGGGTATTATCAAAGGATACTGTAGGACAGAAAGGTTTAAGACGAAGGGTAAAGGTCATTTGACGGGATTTATTGCCATTTATTTTAATCCTGCAGTTTTGACACCACTCTTCAAGATTTGTGATGTTTGATTGGAGAGTTTGGGATGCAATTGATAGGTTGTTATTAACTGATAGTACACATAAGTCATCTACATAGGTGGTGGACGAGAGTGTTAGGATGGGTCGGTATATCAGGTGTATAAACTGTGTAAAGGATAGGACCTAGAATACTACCTTGAGGAACACCAGCGGACTGGTAAAAGAGGTAAGAATTGGGATTCACTTTAAGATATCTATCAGTTAGGTAGGAACAAATAATGAGGAAGTATTTAGGATGCAGGAATTTACGGAGTTTGTAAAGCAGTCTCGGGTGTCAGACTCGATCATAAGTCTGTTAAGATATATAAATATAAAATAAAAATTTTATGTCAACTGCCAAATGTAATCAACGAGATTTAGTTATAACCTGTAATTAATGGTAGAACCTGATATTTAATATTAATTAAAAATATATATATATATATTCCACTATGAATGAATAACTTTAAATATGTCACTT